GAGACCACTTCCACCACAGATCCTCTTATGTTCAGGGGGGTGTAGATTTTTTTGTTCCTTCTGAAGTCCACAATCATCTCCTTTGTCTTCTTCACATTGATGTGAAGGTTATTCTCTTTGCACCAGCTCTCCAGGTGTTCCACCTCTTGCCTGTAGCTGGACTCATCATTGTTTGTGATGCATCCCACCACCGCTGTATCATCTGCAAACTTTACAATGTGACAGCCTGGATGGGTAGCTGCACAATCATACGTGAGCAGAGTAAACAGGAGGGGGCTCAACACACATCCCTGAGGAGAGCCAGTGCTGAGGGTTATGGTGGAGGAGGAGAGGTTGTGGATCCTCACTATCCTCACCGATGGGCATCCGGCGTAAAAACAATTGCGAAGCCTTTCTACGATTTGGCTTCCTGACCCCTGAGGAAGGGAACAGCTGATAAAAAAAATAAATAAATGAATAAATCATTCAGGTGATAGATAAAGGACAAAGTTAGCAATATTGGGTTATAATGAGAGTCAGTGGGACCAGTTGAGGGTATGCTTTGTGCAGATCTCCTATTCTATGCACCTTGCAATAAAGGGGGTCATTAAATTCTTTCAAATAATATTAAAAACAAATCCTGGCCAAGTTTCATGAAATTAATCTTTAAACCAACTGATCTATTGAGAATCAAAAATAGCAAATATGCAGAATGTACATGTTTGGTCCCCTATGATGCTTTGAGGGTTAAGCCACAATCATCAGTCACATTTGCCTCTAGATCCTTTTGGTTCACAGTGTAGTTCATGAATGACTATCCATGTTGCTCACATCCTGGGGTTATAAACCAAGCCCAGACCACACGCCCTCCACCCTCATGCTTGACACTCGATGTGTTCGTTCTAGTTTTCAACCAGTTTGCTACTGTGCAATCATTGTACAGTTTTTTTTTTTTTATGACAATGATCCAGAAGTCTAAAGTTTGTTCAAACTTACTGTTGCAAAAGAACGTAGCGTTGACATGTTGTTATTTTTATCCTTTTTTTATAACTCTTCGAAAATTGTACTTGTTGAGTTTTTTGGGGACTTTGTTGTCCTGACCTTTAACACTTAACATGCTTTCTGAAACACTTAAACTCTAAAAATAGCATTTTATCTGTTTATCTGAGCATTACATCTTCTGGTCTCCAGATGAACTTGCAGAACTAAGCGCTAGCATCTATTTTGATTTTTTTTTTTTTTCATGATAATTAGAAATGACCTTTCAACACTTCCAACACTGAAGGATAGCTACATTTGCTGCTTTAAATACAAAAAGTGGTAACACACGTGTGGACCAAATGAGCTACCATCAAATAAACCCTATAACAATGTTAAATATAATTATATGCAAGTTCATTTGAGTGTTTTTTAATTGCTGCCTACTTTGATTCTGTCTTGAAACAAGCTTGATTAACAAGAATCTCTTTTCTATCAAGCTACATTTTTCGCCTTAGCTGCACAAGAATGGGTCAGTGGGCAATCGGTCATGTCACCCCTGAAGGGGACATCATCCAGACCATTCCCCAGAACACACCTCTCTTCCAGGCGCTCACTCTGGGCTTCAAGGAGAACTGGTTAGCACAGAACACACACTGGTCAGTCATTTGTTTTCCTTTAGTTGAAGGGCTTTCTTTGAGCGCTGTGTTTCTGTGTCTGCAGCTACCTTTACCCAGACGGCCGCGATGTGATCCCCGACCTGACAAGCTTGTGCGAGCCTGCCAACAAGGAAAAAGTCCAAGTTTCAGAAGTAAGATTCATCTTATTTTGTTTGTTTGTTTGGTTTACAGTGAACTGTGAGCTCAGTCTTGATTCTTGTGATGGTCTGTGCTCTGTCGTGCCTTTCTGACCAACCACCCAACAGGAGCAGTATGAGCTTTACTGTGAGATTGGCAGCACTTTCCAGCTGTGTAAGATCTGCACGGAGAGAGATAAAGACATTCGCATTCACCCCTGTGGACATCTCCTGTGTCGACCCTGTCTCACAGGTTGGAAGGTAGAAACCACAATTTATTTATTCAAAATCACCCGATGCTGATTTTTCAAATTCAGACCATTTTCAGGCTTAATATGTCACAATCGTACTGTGAGACTTTTGTGTTCAGTGAAGGAAAACGGTTTGGGTTGATTTAACTGCGCGCATGTTTGTAGGCTATGGTTTGGTTGTTGGTTGTCTCTTTACATTAGTTACAGTGCTGGTTATTTCTATGTGGTTTGGTGTTGAAATCAAAAATATTCTTCCTGCTTCTCATGAAAAAAATGTATTCAAATGTAGCATTGCCACAAAGTTACTTTAGCTGTGCTAAACTAAAATATAAAATGAAAAAAAGTATTGCGAAATATAATTAATAAGTTTGTGTGTGTGTGTGTGTGTATGGCATAATGAATAAACCTGTAGATTTAATAGACTACAGTTTTTGCTCTAAAATCACATTTTTAATGTTTAAACAAAATTGTCATCAACAAATGTGCTCAAGTCTTTTTTTAAGCACGTGGGCTGTTTTTTATTTAGCCTTTTTTCTGGTAACAGGTCTGTTCTACGTTCACTTGTTGGTAGCTAGCCCCAACTGTGGAGCAAATATTTAATCAGCTGACACATCGGCAGTTTGTTCCTGCTCCAGCTCCAAAACGATCACACAGAAAACACCCTTTTTATCTTACTGTAATGATCAGATCACTAACTTTGATATCTTATTAGGTCAAAGACTTTTATTTTTATTGTAGAAATATATGTGAAATCCAACATTTTTCAGTCAGGTCATTTGGACAGTTTCTTTTTTTGTGCTGAAACGTTTCGGCTTCGATCCGGAAGGCTTCATCAGTCAAGGAAACACACAACAAAATCGGATCCGATTTTGTTGTGTGTTTCCTTGTTGGATTGTATACCTGGATTATTGAGCATGGACTTTGTTGTTATATGTGAAATTATTTGTATGTGAATATCAGACGCATTTACTCATCAACTGTTTGACAAAATAGTTATTCTAAAATACAGATAGCTTTGAAATCATTTAAAAAATGTTTATTTGAACCTTTCTAGATGACAAGAAACAAAAAGTACAAATCCATATAATAATACTTGTACTTTACTTGAATACTTTCATTCTTTGATAGACCAGACCAGAAAAAATGACTTATTAATTTATTTACTTTTATCTAACAGCTTTTTTTTTTATTATTCAAATAGAAAAAAAAAATCATATGTATAAATTTTTAACTTGATATACTATCTAAGGGCTTACTACTACAGGAATTTAACTGAAGTCACAAATACCAAAAAATACTTATTGCAATTTAAAACTGGAATTGATATCACATGTGAACTTAAGGATCAGTAAAAGGTCACTTTAGTGAGGTAAGAGGTGTTGTAATCCTGCAGGTTTGAGCCCAGATTGCATCAGGAAGGGCATCTGTTGTGAAAAAGTTCAGAAATATTTTGTGTGAGGCTCAACATATCAGTGTTGTTTTCTAAATTATGCTGCAAGATTCTACTGTCATTTCAGGTTCTAAAGCAAAACATATTTCAAAGATCTTTTTCTGGTCATCTATGGGTTAAA